ACTTAACAATTAAGCACAATCAGCACCACTGAAGCGCTGAAACTTACTTGTTCCAGCACAAAAAGTTGGTAGTTGTTCACAACATTGGCGGGCTTTATCTGGAAGGTGACAGAAAAGTTGTGCAACACTCGGTAAATGGGCGATTTAGCGATCACCTGAGTGTCCCAGTAGAGACTGCCCGAAGGCAAGTAGTGACCGATCGCGCCGGGCGGATCAGACGCTCGATTGGAGGTGATGAGCTTTAGCAGCTCTTTATTTACTGCTGAAATTAGCCATGGCACGGAGCCTTGCTCGGTTTTTTTATTCGCCTCTGGCCAGCCCCGCTCCTTTCTGGCATGATTGAAGAGACGGTGTATTTCCTGAGGATCGGGACAGATAGTAATACCTGGGATCTGGTCGTAGACAGTATGTCGTCCGGAGTAGTCCAACTGAAACACCGTCTGATGCATGCAATATTGGATGATGACGAGGGTAATGCAGCTACAGAGGCCAATGAACATGGCAGTGGAGATTATGACCCAAATAATGCGCTGAAGACGCGTTGGCGCGCTGGCAATTTTAGCTATCGGCACGAGGGAAGACTGACTGAATACCTCCGATGGAAGGCTCATCACTGAGACTGTAACTCGTTTATCCTGGTAGTGCTTCACTATTTATACCCTCTTCAAGCCATCACAGCAACGCCAGTGTTGTGTCGAGTGGACACACTGACCGCGAGGCCACGTCGACCAATCACGAGCCACTGTTTGACACGCAAACCCTTAAATTTGGATATCATAACTATCCACATTTTTTTTCTTGCAGTACACATGCAAGCTTGCTTCTTCTACTACTTTTGCCCTTAACTGCACAGGACTTATCCCCACTCAAGAAGCCGTTGAATGCCCTGTTTTGAACGCATTTTTAATGTAAGATTATTTTATTTAAAAGACTCCTCGAACCTTTTATTGTCAATTCATGTCCCTTGTAACATATGCAAACAAAGTAAGGTTGCACTCAATCATTATCAACGCAGAAGCGTCATAAAATCTACTAGCAATTCAGAAATTTGAAAGCACTTTCTTCCATTTAGCTGGGGATCGGTCAAATGATGCGATACAACTCCATGAAAATGGGAATTGTGCGCTCATGAATTGTTTAAGCTTTTACAAGAAATCGCATTTTTGCTGGCCTAATAACCTACAATGCCAAAAAGAGGACATGAATAACTTCTCAAAAGCCTACATCATCCTCGGAATTTAAACCAACCTTTATTACTATGCATTACCAATGATTCTCTGATGTTACTCAAGCAACTGAACAGCATGTAAATTTTAGCTTTGGCAGCACCTCTTA